CCTGGTTCCTATCACTGTAAAGAAACCTGAGCTAGTCATTTTGTCTACAATGAACCATTTAAAATCAAACCACTCTGAATTATTTTGTCTTTATCTGTTGAATTATGCATTATTCCATGTTTAAAAGATTTCCCCTTTAATATCATATCATTAGGATGATTATTAATTGCAAAGTCAAACACAAAAGGGAGTTTTATATGTGAAAAAACAGCTTTACAATCAAAATTACACACACACACACACAAAATGCTCACTGCATAAAGGGTTAAAGGTGTTCAAGTATGTATCAGTGTTTGGAAAAGGTGCAGAACCAGAAACAGCCTCTGTTACGACTTGAACTCGCACTGAATCTGCCTGAGGGAGTTACTCCAGCACTTTATAATCAGATGGTAATGATCTCAGCTACAAAATAACAGTGTCTAATAAAATCACAGCACAGACAGATTACAGAGCATTTTAATGGTTAACGGTAGAAATATAATGATATGTTATTATTATTGTGATAAAATATACCAAAGTGTGCTTTTCTGAGTTTATCATGGGTAGCATTAATACTTCTAGAACACTGAACAACTGCATGTATCATGAAAGATATATTTAGCCCAATTAAAGAGAGCACATAAAATGCAACATCAACAACCAATGTCAGGCCAGACCTGACAGTTGATTTTAAAGTAAATTTGCAATTTTCCACTTCAGATGTTGTCAATCAGCTGAGACATGCTTGGTGTCCAAATTCTGCTTCTTTAATTCAGCACTGGAGCTATGAGGCTAATGTTGCTAGCAAACACTAGTCAATATTCAACAGTCACCCAAAATCTTTTCTGTAAATACACCCCCCAAACTTCTCCCAACCCACTCAGATTGCATCCAGTTCCTCATTAAGGTTCAGCAGATTTGTCAGTGTGGTTTAGTTGACAGTATGATGTACTGTAAACTAGAAAAATAAACAGAATTTCACCATGTAGCTGAATGCTGCAGGCAGCCACTTTAGACAACAGCTGTGTTGTGGCCTAGATTATGCTTGAAATTATGTTTCGGCTAATAAATATATGCCTTCATGTCAAAATTTTAAGATTTAAAGTTGTTTATAAAAAAGAAAAGAAAACGTGAATGCAGTGTACTCCATAGACTCCATATGCCTGAATGATTCGCATAGAAAATATCGCAAATTGGAAGAAACTTGACTACATCATTACATCCCTAGAGCTGTGTGAAAGGTGCAAACATTAACATATTAACATTAGCATGTGAACACAAGGCACATATTCAGGTGCATGTTATTTTTGTTGTATCAAAAAATGTACTATATTGAGACAACATGGTATCATAACTGAATTTTATCAATTACTTTGAGTGCATGTCTGCTCAACAGAGCTTGTAATACTGACTTTCTTTGAATGTCTCTTAAAAGGCTATACACTCAGCTTTCAGCCGAAGAGGCTTTTGAAGGCTTTTTTGCCGTATCGGTAAACAGAAACCCGAAATATCCATAATCTTACGTCAGAGGATGCGCAATGTTCTCAAAGAAGGGAAAATCAAACTCCAGTGGATTAGAGACAGAAATCTTGTAATATCACAAATAACTGCAAAACATGACTTTAACAGGCCTGGATGACTGGAAAGTGACCGCAAAGCCAACCCTGCATAATTCCACTTAGACCAACTAGGCTACAACAGAAATCCTGTATAGGGGTTTAATCATCGCACGCGTGAGATTTGCACGTTAACAGTGGTGTGTATCAACATCCTATTTTGTATTGTGTCTTCTGTCGAACGCCTTTAATGCCTTTATGTAAGCGGGTTTACTGTATTGTGGGTCTGATGCCTCCACCATGTGCACTGTTCATGCAGTTTTGCAGCGTATGTTATGCAATGCACATACGCATTATCTATGCCAGATGCATGCATTTAACAACATACTAAAACACATGTCACTCATCACTCACAGCTGTCTACTTGTTAGACAACAATGTAGCATCAACAAATCTAATGCAAACAATAGAAATGGCATAAAATCACTTTTCAAGTGTAATTCTGTTTAAAAATTATGGATCAAGTTGGATAAAGTCACAGCATGCTGCTTGTTAAACAGCTTTTAGGGTGTAGACAGGAAAGGAAAATGAGTATGTTTGGGTGTGCTTTCAGTGGATTACAGTACAGACTCTTAAAAGTCCTGAACCTTCCCAGGTTTATCCGTAAATCACACAAACTCACACTAAACAGGTGTGAATCAGACATGACTGGCAGCAGGCCCACGCAAAAAGTAAGGGCTTGGCAGGAAAACTGCACAGTCAGGGATTTCACAACAATATCCACATACAAATTCATAGACAAATCTCAGGACGCACGAGCCATCTGTACAAAAAATTCAAAGGGCCGCAATTGTAAACAGTGGAATCTAAGGCAGCATACGTGGGGATGTCAAACCTCAGTCAACATAAATAAATGACAAAATTCATCCTCGTTATAAAAATGCATCCCCCTTTTCATTTGAATTAATGTTATGTGAATTCTTATAAATTTGAAAAGAGTAATGTCTAATTACCCACTTGCACATCCATATATGGAAACTATGCTGCAAAACAAGCCTGTTTTGAATTCACTGTTTCTGCAATGACACGAGAGCCATCTCCTTTACATATACCCACACAGCAGTTTGGCTTCGCCCATTTATAGTGAAATTATACGTTGTTTGTGACAGCCTGTTCAATTTGAAGGGATATAGAGAGGTTGGAAAAGGGTAATGCACAAATGAATTATGACTGTTTTCGGTATATACAAGAACACAAACGTTCTAAATATGGAAAACAGAGGAAAAACAGTAAAAGAAAAATGCAGGATATGGGGCCTTTAAATTGAAACTTCACAACTGTCAAAATCATACGTTTAGGGTGAAAAACTTTAATTACAGATATTTTTCCCCTCATTTTCCACTTAAACATTTCCCTGAAGAGATTTTACTCAGCTCACTTACAGGAAAGTAAAAACCAAAATTTACCTATGTTTAATGCAAGTGACCATCAGGCTTTAAACTTTGTTCTATGTAAATAAGAGGCATTCTAATCACACTATGAGGCATATGTGATTAACTAATTGTTATCTGCACTTAGAAGGAGATGTAAGTACAGCTACAATTTATATCCAACCAAGTCAAACACCCAAAGTTGCTTGACTCCACCATTGCCTTTAAATTTTCACACAGTGGCTCAGTACACTCTCAGGAAAATGTTATTAATTAGTTATTGAAAGGTATTTTAAGTTACATAAAGTCCAGTCTTATCTTCAGGTCGATTTTTTATTAAAAAGCTAAGAGCTATTAAAACTTAAGCAAGTTTTTCCCTAGGAAAGTAATTGTAGCGTCCCTTATAACGGATTTAAGGAACACAATGGGACCTTAAAAACATTACTGTACCATGGGGGACAAAAATCTGTGCAGCACCTTTTTCTCTGACAGTATATAACTGTGAAGTTTGAAAAAAAACTTGTGTAGTTCTTACAAATTAATATGAGTAATGTACCTTAAACTCAGCTTGAAAGGTACTTTACGTTTGCTTGTACCCTTCAAGCTGTCTCACATTGTTTGTGTCTTTAGCTTTGGGTGGGTCAGGCAGGCTATCACCTTTCAGTCACTAAAAAGTAGCCTGTGGCAACGTTGTGTTCGTAAGGCAAGCCTTACTTTATGTATACTTTATGTATATCTTTGTTTGTATGAATCTATAATGCGAATTTTTAACTGCTGAAATTACCTAACCACGAATAACTTGTAAGTTTGCTAACCTACAGCTCCAGAAGGACAGGAGTGAACTGACGAGGCCGGCTGCCTATTCGAATTCCGCGTTCCGCCTTAAACGGCGCAGCAGTTACATTCACGCGCCTGTTCAGGTGCCAGAACGAACTGCTGCACCATTTAAGGTGGAACGGAAAATGCGAACAAGACACCAACTTAGGGAAGTAGGTCGTGGGTCGTGGCCCAGCTTGCTTTGCGACAAAAGCAAGCAGCCCGAAGCCCAGTCACAGACAGTAAGGTAAAGTAAACAAGTTCAATCTTAAGTTCAAATATTGAACACTTTAAGTCGGGCTTAGTCTAAATACGACTTGCACAACAACTACAGCTCCTTTGAGAACAATGGACAGTCGAAACCATGTCAAAAAGCCACGGAAATGTGAGATAATAAAGAGCTTGACCTACCTTGAGGTTGGAGATATAATAATAAGTCCTGCACTTGACCCAGATATACAGTCCAACAACAGTATGAAGTTTGATAGAAGCGATTAAACGCCTCGGTTTTGTACACAGTCCCAGATTTCCTGAATCTTCCAGGTGTGGGCGTGTCTTCGCGCTGCAGGTGAGTCGTCGACGAGTCACGTGACTTCGGTTTCAGGGAAGGCGGAGCAGTGAGTTTCGATAGAGATTAATAAATTAAATCTGAAACTCTAAAATTAAAAAGATTATATATGCAATCCAAATGTAATGATATGTGAAGAGTTTTAAAACTTCACCAAAAGATTCTAAATGGAGTTTTTTTTTGTTTTTAGACCCAACATTTCTGAACTGTTGAGTATTTTTAAACAGCAAACCCTCTGGCTCAGGGTGCTATTTCCACCTGGCTCTTTTGTAGTCCACTTCCTTCCTGAAAATTCCTGTCTAAGCCCACTGTAAGGTGATAGAGCCACTTAAATAGCTTACTACATCATGCCCTCTAGTGGAGAACTTCTAATAAAGCTCACAGTCTCCTTCTGCCCTGCTCTTTTCCTTCCCTCTTGCTGTAAGGCACCAATTCATCTTATTACGGTCTTGCTAAGCTGCTAATGTGTTAAATCATGGCTGTGCACAAAAAATATGCATGTTTCTGGGTTAATAACTGGGATTAGAAACCACTGGCATTTCAATAACAGGATACACCAATCCCTGTTCATGGCTTTAATGCTCAGTATTACGTAATCTAACATTAAAGAAAGTACTAGATAAACTGTAGTGTAGCATTATTTCAATAAATACATGACACATTTCTAAACAGATGCAGCTTTTAATAGCACAATTCCATTACACAGTTTTCTATAAATACACAAATACACAAACACTTGTGAAATATATTACTCAAATATGTAATCAAAAATATTTTAAAGACAGTGATCTTTAATATCAGGACTCATGTGAATCTTTTAGTGTGGAAAAAGCCTTTCCACATCACTTATTATCTAAAATAACATTTTGGATAAAAAAAAAAATTGATTTGTGCTTTCAGATCACTTTTTATTCTTATTAAAGGATTGAAGAATTTTGGCACTTAGGCTAACAGATCTTAAAACGTGATTATCAAAGAAATTCTAAGAAATTTCTCAGAAATAACAGACAGTGCCCACATGACCCATTCTGAAATGTAAGATCTCCAAATGAAGTATAACACTTTTTTAAAGGATAGAATGAATGGCAAAAAGTGCTTTGCAGTTGTGTTAAATTGACCTTAAAAGGGGAAGTCCACAAAATTTTTCAAATTTTCTGAATAATTCAACCATTGAGACGTAAACAAAGTTTTTCATAGTGGTTTGATTTGAAATGGTTCATGGCAGAGAATCTTACCAACTTTTCTTTGTAGTGGTGGTGATAAGAACCAGAGGTTGTAATGTTTACAGTGCAATTATAGTTTATTTACTATCCAACCAGTGAACCTAAATGTGCCCTTTGAGTTTTGACATGTGATATTAATAATGGTAAAATAGTAAAAACGTTTTCTGTGGGTATCCTTTTTAGAACACATCGTACGTACCTCTCCACCATGAATGAATTTGAAAAAAATACACTTTAGGCCAAAATGTTATTACAAAACTACCACAAAACAATTTTACAGGCACCAAAAAACATTCATATCCATTTTAGAGGCATTAAACTCTTCAGATGTCTGGTTCCTATCACCACCACTGTGAACAATTTTGACTCGAGAAGTTTCTCTACAACAGAGAATTTCACACCAAACCACTCAGAACAAATTTACATCTTACCACCAACTTAATTATGCAGAAATGTAAAAAAAATCAGCAGGAATTCCTCTTTAACTTCATATTTAGTCCCAATACAGAGTTGTCTCTCCTGTAGCTCACCTAATTTAACTCAATACTCTCCAGGAGTTGGTTTAGATGTGATAGAGCTGACAGAACACAGAAATCTGGCAGTGTAAAGGGCTCCCAGCACAGAGACTGAATAATGTTTTATATGTAAAATGTACACTTTAAAGTTGACAAGTGCAAAAACAATAGAAAGCTGTACAACTCTACAGTGTGGAAATCACTCTGCCATTTAAAACTCAAGGCCTGTTCAGCCTCTTCTGTATTAGCAGCAATATGGAGCGAGGGAAATCACACTCAATGTGCAATCTGTGCTTCAGTGACCCTCAGAGACGGTCAATAGCCGGCATTGACACTGTCCTAGCACAGTGACTAAAAGGAATTCTTCACAGAGAAAGCAAACTGGATCTCTACCACTTTTCTCTGTTTATTAGCAACATTAGCATTTTTGGGCAAAGTACTCTCTTGCTAATTGGGACAGAATATGGCTAACTGATTGTAGGTCCATGTCCTGCTAGATCATCTTGTGGACGTTTCAGCCAGCAGGTCCATTTCAGCGGATTTCATACATCACTAGAAAAGAAAGATGAAATATTAAGTTAACATTTCTACGTCAAAAGAGTGGTCTAAAATGTGCTGTGGTGTCATCAAAAATGACAGGTACTATGAAAAAAAGATGTATAATGCCACAAAACACTGCTTGATAAACTGCTTTTAAAGCTTTCACTGTGTAAATTAAGTACAATTTAAGACAAAGTAGACAGACCTTCCCAGGTTTATCTATAAATTACATGCAAGTCACATTACAGTTTGCTCACCGCTGGCCAAATTATATATTTTGTTGATTTCTGAAGTGAAAACCAAGTTAACACAGTTACTTTATATATGATTAAGTTAAAAAAAATAAGTAGTAATTGAGGCATTTGCAATAGTTTGTACACCCTTTCACAGAACTTAATTAACTTCGGCCTTAGTTGACTCATTAGGACTGATTTGGTAAGTTAAGAATTCTAGAGCCAAACAGATTCTCTGACTCTTCAAACCTTGCTAACACAAACAACCATTGGCTCCTCTGAGCAGCTGCATGAGCATCTGAACATGATGCTAACTGATATCTACAAAGTAGTTAAATGCAAGGTAACTGTGGCAGTCAAGGCAAGAAGCTTTTGCAAATTGTGATATCTGCTGACTTAGGTATTCAAACATTTGCACATGCAACAATTCCTTTTTATTATTTTTAATTTTTTTACTTTTATTATTTTTAAGCTGCTCAAATGTTGTTATTTAAGACTGTCTTCTGCAGAGGTTGTGATTACTTTTTTTAATTTAAAAAAATTCAACAAAGTATGTCATTTGACCACAGGTGCCCAAACATTTCTATACAACTTGGCAGTTGTAAATCAGACAGGACTGACATTCTGCCCACATATAAAGTATAGGCTTGGTCTGAAAAACTGCACAGTCAAAGATTTCAGAACAATACAAGTGGCAAACCACAGTTTTTAAAAATAAATCACTGAAGGGAGGAGCTGAAAACAGGATGCAATGCTGCAATTCTCAAATAAATCTGAGGATGTTGGAGCCAACAGCAAAAAAAGTTCAAGGACCACATTTTTAAACCGTGGAAGCCAGGGCTCGATTTAAGGTGGGATGCAAGGAGACACCAACCCCCCAACAAAAAATAAATGATAAAATTCCTCCTTGTCGAATTGACATTCTTCTTTGGGATGAAGGTGAGAATTATAATGTCTGAAGAAATACTGGGGCTTTTAACTTCCTTGCACTAAAAAGCAGAAAAGTAAGTACTGCTACAGTTCATATCCAACCAAACCAAGTTGTTTGAACCCACCAACTAAAGGCATATATTGTCAGAGATTGTGATGTCATCAAAATGTTGCTGCCAATTTTGTTTTGTCATTTGATAAAGAGTCATAAGACTAACCATGTCAAATTATATAAAAATTAAATAAAAATGTAAATCACAAACACTGTAAGTAACAATTACTGAACAGAAACATGCGACATGCAAAGCCACAAAGGAATGATCACAGTATTACAGTTAAGTGTTATAAAGAAGTATAATCAATGATCCACAGTGACAATTTGAAATCCGATAAACTGGCGTTTTAGAGAGAACACCATGTTTGATAAGGCCTGTGTCAATGTAAAATACAGCAAAAGTTAGAAGCTTAAAGTGGTCGTTCAGTGAAAAATGACATTTAAACAATTTTCCCCTTACCTCAAATGGATCAGACGTATTTGTAATACAAGTTTGCTTCTTTAATTTTACATGGACAAAAGTACCTCACATAGCTAAAACAGTAGAATTGTGTCTGTTGTTGTTGCTGTTATACAGTGTAAGAAACCACATAACCAAGCCTATGTGAGATTACTTGAGATTATTTGGGTAAGAGGGGAAAACTGTTAATTTGATTTTTGGTTGAAATATTGCTTTACACTTCATTTGTTTAAACAGCATGCTCTCACCAAGTAAACATCAAGCTCTGAATCAGGGGTCCTGCTTTGGGGGGATGTGCTTGGATGGGCACTGTCTTCTAGAGCCAGGGTAGAGCTGGAGGTCCGGCGATGACCTCTGTTGGGCCACAGGGTTTTTTTTTTTGTTTGAAGGAAAAATAGATCATAATAGATCAGGTTACGTTAGTGGGAACAGCAGATCTGGATGTAATGATTAAGTTTATTGTGAAGTGTCATAATGTGAGAAATCAGATATAAAGCTACAGTGCAGTCACTGTTATTACTTTAAAGTTAATTGAGTGTAAGAGTGAGAAAGTGGCCATTGATAAACACCTGCTGTCTACGTCCTCCTCCTGCTCAAGCTTAAAGTCATCTAAAGAGGAAACGGAGGACATGGTAGCAGCTGAAATCGTCACATTCAAATTGGTAGAGCTTGGAATAACATCAGGTTTCTGAGAGGAACCCAAATCTGTCATGGAGAGACATCAAAAGAGCAAAGGAAAATATATGATCTTGATTTGAGATGTTAAATGTAAGTGCCAGTTTAATCTTGTGCAGCACAGCAGGGGTCATTCACCTTTTAACCACTGGTCTTCATGACCTTTCAATTACTTTTTTCATTACATTCATTTCCATTACCAACATTTAAAAATAAACATCATGCAGTTTAAGGGAATAGTTTATTAAAAAATGAAATGCACAAAATTTTCCTCTTCCAAATGCACGCGATAAGCCAGGACATTTTTTTGTGTCTGAAGTTTGCATCTTTAGTTTTACACAGGAGCTGCAGGGCTAATGTTGAGAACAAATAATGAACATCTAGGAAACTGGAACTGTGCTCTTTCCTTTTACCACTAGTCCAGCAGTGAATGCTCCATTTTTTTTTATTTTTGGTATGTGCTGAAGATTGGTACCAACAGGACCTAATGGTAATGTAAGATGTTCTCTTCTCAAAAACAATTTCACAACTTCATTACACCTCCAGGTAAAGACAAAGTCACCAAGTGTTATTTCATCACCAATAAGTGCACCAGGATATAAACTGGGATGATATATTGATGTGTTGATTGCTATTTTTAGAGTTATTACTTTGGAAAAAAGTTTGCTACAGCCACATAACTAAATAAGCTTATCTTTGTAATGTTATTAGCATATGTACTAGCCTCCACAGAACGTGTTTTTTGCCTTATATTTTTACACTTGACAGATAAACTGAGACTTTCTACATTATTCTGTGTAAATGTAGACATTTCAGTGACCTTTCAGAACAGTGCAGTATATATTTTCAGCCAGTAAGTTAAGCTAACTAGCAAGCAAAGAAGCTGGTAGCTGAATTAGACACTGTGGAGTGGCGTAAAATTACCAAAAAGACAATTAACTATGGTTATTATGACTGTTCCAGCTGTCCTGCAAGCAGGTGGAAATTACACTAGACCTAGAATCGGAATGGGTTCCCATTTGAGACAGTTCTTGTTTTTTGAATGTGCAGTGGAAAAACACTCATAGATTTCCATTTCATTAGCTTTATGGCTCCAGTGCAAAAATAAAGAAGCAAACTTTTGACACTAAACATGTCCTGGCTAATTCACTATGTTTGCTGTAGAGATTGTGTAAATTGAATTTTTCAAGTATTCATTCCTTTAAAGCAGTGGTCACCAACCCTGGTCCTTGAGATCTTCCTGCGGAGCCTAGGACCATCAACATTCTGCCACACCTGCTACAGCTAGTGAACTTCTTCAGAAGTCCTTTACAAGCTGATTCAGATGTATTACTGGTAGGTATAGGGGACATGGGGGAATGTGGGGTGCAGGGTGTTATATACAGGTTCGAATGAAACTCTGCAGGACCACAGATCTCCAGGAGGAGGTCTGGTGACCACAGCTTTCAATGAAGTCAGTGCCACTGACATGTCAATAGAACTGGGATTTGGCCCCATTAAAATCTGACTAAAGGTAAATCTGCAGAACCGTTTCAAAACCTTTAGAGTATTTATTGTTTTCCAAAATTTCTCCATGCTTGGGAAGCAGAATTACTAAATTCCATGACTCCAGGGAAAATGATTACCTTTGTCATCCAGATTTTCCAGGCTTTGTGCTTTCCTCTCTTCATTTGTCTCCTCCTTAACTGTTGCGAGGACTTCCTGTGATACAGACCTGATGGGTTGGATGGAGCTCCTTTTCCTCCGAGAGGAAGCACCTCGGAGAGCTACACCAAAGAAACAGCGATGGCAAAAAGGCAGGGAGAGTAGAAAAAGCGAGAAAAGATTAGCTTTGGCTTCAGATGCTGACTTTTTAAAACATGCATGAAAGAGAGAGAGAGGAGCCGCACTTACGATTGATCTTTTTAAATACGGTGCCACCCATAAACTTCAAGAACCTGTCAGCATAGAAATTCGGCCTGTGGACCGACACTGTGTCCTAAAACACATATCAAGAGCAAAGAGCTAAATGAATAATTGTCATTCACATAGCATTTTTCATTTTAGTAAGCAAACCCAAAAGTGTACACAGCAATATAAGCAAAACATTAAAAACAAAAAAAAACATCACAGTTCAAGTGAAATAATACAATTACAAACTACATCAGAAAAAAGAAAGGGAAAGAAAAACAGCAGCACACGGACTAATGAGGAGTTTTACATTTTTAAATAGAGAAAAATAAAAATAAGAGGCACTTACTCCATCATGAACAAGGGCTTTCCATGAGTGCTCAACTTTTTTGATAAATCTTCATGATAAAAACAGAACACGCAGTGATGTAACATTTCATATTTGCATCATGATTATATAACAGTGTTCATCCACATATCCTACTTCACATCACTTTTTGATTAAGCAGTGGAAAAGTAATCTTTTGCTATATGAACTATATATAAGATCAATCTGGTTTTGTCTGTTTCGGGTCAAATAATGCGTACCTATATGACTGTAGGATGTCGATGATTCCCAAAAAGATCAGCAACTTTTCGTCTTTGTGTTTGGCAGGGATCCCACCCATTCTACAAGAAAATAAAAAGAAATACTCATTATTTACTCTATTTCAAATTATTCAAGTGTTCCATTATAACATGCAAAAAATAATAATAAATATTTAACTGTCTGATTTGATTTTGTTTAGATTTTTACATTTTTAATTTTGTTTGTTTTTACTAATATTGGGTTGTAAGGGTTGGATTACCAGACACAGACTTAGCTAGGTCCTAATTTAAATGGATAAATGGATTTTCAACAGAAAAGACAGTGTAGTGCATAATCAGGATTAATCTGTGCCTGGAAAACTGCAGGGTTTAATCATCAAGAATTCCTGTTTTTTTTACGACCACATAGCAGTGAACAAGGACATACAGTACTGTGCAAAAGTCAGTGATCACACTTTTTTTTTCAAGTTCCTGTTAAAACGGCATCTGTTCGTATTTCAGCATCAGGGAAAAAAAGAGGAAACCATCTATTTAACAGACACATTTCACAGAACCTTTGTTGACAGGTAAATATAATACATTTTTTTCATTATTTATTTATTCTTTACTTTTATTACAGCTTTCATTCTTTTCGGGGTTTTTTTGTTACAGGTTTTCTAAAAAATCTGCAGGAATATTGTTCCACACCTCCGAAGTTCAGTCTTAGAAGCATTTTCTGCTTCTCACAGTACAAATAATCCCAAACACATTCAGTGATGTTGAGGTGTGGACAGTCTATTGCTCTGAGAACGGCAGCTTCTTAACAGCTACACGACCTTTCAGACTCATAGTGTTGAGTTGTCTTCTCACAGTAGAAGGATGGACAGAACCAGCTGTGGATTTTTTCAGATCTGAAGCAGCTTGATTTTCTCCTCTCTCTCAAAGATGAAAGTTTTAAGTGCCGTTTATCTGATGGGGACAGTTTTGGTGGTCTACCAGGTCTTGCACGGTTGGGAGTCCTATGCAAGTGGATTACCTTATATGTAATCTAAACCTAAAAAAAGAATAATTTGTAAAATAATGCAGTCCAACAGAAAGAGTACTAAACTACAGCATTAACTCACTCTCAACCAGACAACTGCACACACATTCATCAAAACTGCACAGGAAATATACTGACCATGCTAATATATATATATATATATATATAAAATATATAAAGGTGCTGTGAAACCACACCACCATAACAGACAACTATAGTGTGCGGCAAAACGCCACCCTAACCACTTTCCGTTTTAGTTTTTTTGTAAAGGTATTTTTAAATGTTCCAACCAAGATGCATAGTGTGGCTCTTGCGGCCTACAAACTGAAACCAACCTAAAGAACTAACTTCAGCCTGTCAGAGTCAAAGCACAGCTTCATGAGAGCACAGAGAGACTGATGGAACAGGGCGGTTTAAGGCTTGTGTCAGACAATAAGTTTTTCCCACAATATCTAGATCATGGGTGCTCAATCCTGGTCATGGAGATCTACCACCTTGGCGAGTTCAGATCCAACATGCCAAACAGTTCAGCTTTCATTCCGAAAGCTTTCATTACCTCTATCAGGTGTGTTAAATTAGGGTTGGAGCTAAACTCTGCAGGGTGGTAGATCTCCAGGACCAGGATTGAGCACCCCTAAACTAGATATTGCCTTATTTTACATCCATTAATGTAGTTCTTGGACAAACATCTTTAACTGCCGAGACCATAAGTCAGTCAGAGTGACAACTTCAGCAACCCAGCTCCCTTCTGAACTTTCAGCCCCTTAACTAGATGGACTTGTTGCAAGTACACAAAACATGCTGTATCTTCTTTTATAACATGACCTAAAGTGTAATAAGCTGATATTTAACTTTCATTGTAGAAGTTTTTTTGAATGATCATATATCAGCATAAAGACAAAACAAGAGACTAATGTGGTTGTATAAGAGTGCTGAAGTTTAATAGTAGGCTTAAGGCCTGTACACAAGCTTAATTTATTTGTGTGATTTATTCAGACAACAATAAATTAATTACAGCATGTGTATAACTGATATCTTATACACCAAACATGATTTCTCAGACGGCAAAAATACAGCAAATTTCTTTTTGCAAACTTTCATCAGCAACATGAACCATCAGAACAATGACAATCATCTCTGCCTTTGGCTTGATGACAACCTAGATGATAAAAAAGCTGCAACTAAAACCTTTTCAAATGTGTCAACAGAATCTCCAAAAGCATCTGACACAGGGCTATGAAGGGCCCAGTTATATATGGAACCACTTAAAGTTTCTGTTTCTAAATGCAGCTGTGAAACTCCTCACACTTTCACTTTTCCAAATAGGAAAGTAGCCTGTTTGTTTGTTCATTCTGTGATCAGTAACGGATATCTTATTTTCACTCGCAGACATTCCACCTGTTTGTTTCGTGCTTCATCTCATGTGGAGCTGCATCCTCAAAAGCAGCTCAAGTAGAGTTACGGAGAGCCGAGCTGTGAGTGAAAGTTTTAGCTCCTGAATGAAACTCTCCATTCTCCTTTCGCTTTTTCAATGTGGAAAGCATCCTGCACACTTGCAGTTCACCCATTTCATGAGAAGCAATTACCTTTGGATAGACACTCTGCCCATTTGTTTTTGTGGTGCAAACAAACAAACAAAAAAACGTATCTGAATATTCAAATTATTGTGTTGTTCATATGCATTGGGTTTGGTGTGCAGCTGTGCTTTTAGCATGACTTTACACAGTGTAACTTTCATGCAACTTCAGGTAACAGTTGAAATGCAACCATCTCAGACAGCAAATTAAGACACCAAAAAGGCATCACATGATTACGTCAGAGGACATGCTCTTAAACTATTCATTAACCAGATCAGTGGCAGCTGAAAATTTAACTGAATGTGTTGCATGCAACTTTGATTGCTTTTGCATTGCGTCACAGTCAAGCAGTAATTAAGCACAGGCAGCTCACAACATGCAGCATGTTTCACTATGAAAGCCAGTCTATCTTTCATGTGATGTCATTTCAGCGTGCACAAGCTAAAGGGCTCAGTTTGCTTTATGAAGCTGGGGTTATGCTAACTGGTCCACACTAGCTCAAATTCATTTTCAGTGGCATCAGCATTATAGAATGAAGCCTTCCTTTGGGTCTGTGCTCTCTGTCATTGATGGTTCCTGGCTGTTTCACAAGTTACGGAAACAGAAACCACATAGAATGCTATTTATAACAGATGCTGATAAGCACTTTGCAGGAAAATACTGATGCTACTAATAATAAATGAAAGCTAACAGGACTCCAACTGGGGTTATGCTAACTGGGCCACACTAGCTTCCGTTCCTCATCAGTGATGTTAGCATGACTGGCTGAAGCATTTTTTTTGGCCTAGGTCTTCTAACAATGTCAGTGATGGATCCTGGCTCACAGCCTCACAGTCTATTCAATCAGACAGTGTATCATGCAGTTCCACTCACGTCTCATCGTCGGTGTCTGGTAGAGGCTCTGCTGGTTTTCCTCCTCCCTGAATGGACTCCATAGCAGTGGAGTAGAGAACTTTCTGGGTTCCCTGCCGCCTGCTGTCTCCCCTGCCTCCTCTCTCCCTCATCTTTTTACCCAGCACATGGATCCCCAGCAGTAGACTGTAGTCCATGATCTTAAAGCTCTCCAGAACCTAATCAGGGGACACACACAAAACATGGTCACTAAAGGGCTGCTACTTTTTTAAAAACAACATTGCCTAAAAGTGCTCTTTGGAGCAATGCCATAGAAGAACTACCTAAAGAACCTTTCAGTGGATGGCTCTTTAAAGAAATTCTCCAGTATTTATCAACCTAACTGCTGTAACTGCAGCTTTCCATTGATAATTTTGTTAAAATGATCTTATAAAGTAAATTATAAATCAATTTATATTATGCTGATGAAGGTAACATTAGTAGATAATTCACTTACATCCTTGGATGACATCCTACACCAGACTTTGGCTCTTTTTACTTTATTTTAGTTCTCTTTAAATACTCTAACTTTCACAACAGACATTACAAAATGCTGTTCCACCTGGTGTGTGTAAACCCAAACTCCAAAATCTTACGCAGTTTCAAAATGTGTCGTTCACTCCTCAGTCCATACATTCCACAAATGGAAAATAAACTGCAAAAACAGCTCCTTTTGACTAAATTTTTCTGTCATGAAAACCAACGCATTTATGTATATCTGGCTATTCAGCCTACAGCAGTTTAGCTCCACCCATTCACACTGAAGTTATAAGGAGTGTTTCATCCAGGACTTCTTTTTGAACTAGGCATGATGCAAGGCAGCCAATCAGTACTTAGGTCATTAACAGCAGTATCCCTGTTAAGTAACCATATGTCATAGATATGGCAGATATAAAAGAGGCTGAAAATTGCTGGAGTTTTCTTATAAAAGCACCATACAATAAAAGGAAACCGAAAGTGGTTCTTTTATGGCATTGCTCCAAAGAGTCCTCTTTGGCAACTTTATTTATAAGCAAGGATCCATTTTAATGTTGTGCATCACCTGAGTTCACTAATGATTTCACCATAACATACAAAAGAACCCAAATCTGGGTGTCGTGTGGAGGCCTGGAACAAATATTATAGGCCTCAGTGGAAAGTTGGCCTGCAACAGCCTACTGATTGCTGTCCGAATCATAAAAGGAGCGGTCACAGCACAGCAGAATCAGGAGTAACTGATAACACTGACATCAGAAGTGCTTGTTGCAGCAAAGCAATGAAGAAAACAAGGTTGTTTTTAACAATGTTGCTATAGTTAATTCATGTATCAAAACCTAGGATTTAACTATTTCACAAGACGTGTACATTCATACACGACAATAAAAAGGCTCTATTTACAGACGCTGCAACCCTTGGTTCCGATCACCACCAATTTAAAGACATCGGAGTAAATATGTGTCTTTAAAATTTGTTTAGGGTAAATTATGTTCCAAATATGCTTTTAGCAGCTGTATGTTACCTCACCTCTTGATGCAAAAATATAACGACTGATTGGTTACGTCTCTTATAGAGATTAGAAATAAGCTGTTTTTTTCTGCCTGTGACTGGTTTAGTAAGCTCCTTAATGAATCAGGTGCTCTGCGCTGTGCTGTCCAGAGGTGGATAAGCTGAGGGTGAAAAGGTCATTGTGTCCCATCTACCGAACCAGATTTTAATCAGCTCATTCAGAATGACTCAGGAAATGATGAGAGCTGCCCTGCTTTCACCATGGCATAACAGAATGTATACACGACTCTGGCATACATCAAATCAACTGCAGTTTAAACGGTCTAAATGTCGTTACTTCTCCGACAGAAAACAGCGATTCATGAGGATATCATGGCTACATCTGCCTAGGGCTGATATTAAAGTCCACGGTAGAGGCTATCCATTATTGTAGGTCCGATATTCTGATTGTATTCCTCTGTCCAAGTCAAGCGGTCTCACTTGTGGTTCTGCATAGAATGTGTTTTATGTATTGCTGCATACGTTTAATCTGTGCAGTAGTCATAAAGTGTATTACATAAAAGCAGCCCTGACTCTTTTTATGCTGCTTTCATGCTGCTATCGTCCATACTTAAAAGTCGCAGATCTAAAAGAGTGGTATTGGAATTAGTCTACACATGCAAATCAGCTGAATGTATTAGGTATGCAACTCTGACAATGACGATTCTTTAGGAAACAATTCAATGCATCATGAAATCTCAAATTTCACCACAGTTTAATTTGATTACTATACTATAATATATTTAGTTTTGACTGATGTTTCTGATATTTGTTGATGTATTCATTGTACTGCTATCTGCATTGGATCTAGATGCAGATGGATCTATTCCCAATTTCTGCATTTCATAAATGTTTATGTATCAGCCCTAGCAGATATGTACAGGAAAAAATATCGGATATTGGCTCAGAATTCCAACATTGGCGCGTCCCTATTTAAAAGAAACTGCTGATTTTCCTAACACTAAAGTTTCCACTAGAATTTTAGATTTTCTTTGGATGTGGGGGAAGTCTGTTGGAGGAACTACTTACACAGTAGTGGAATAAAGATGAAAAGACATTAAGCTTTTCACATTTGAAAATAAGCAGAAAATTTCATTTTGGCCAAAAATGATCCATTCCTGAATATTACTATAACCAACTATAATCAGTTTTCACATTCTGAAATCAGTGCAGCTGAATCAGCATCTTTAGACTCATTTCTTCACCCACTGCTCAGGGCCCATGGCTCTCCACAACCTAAACCAGGCATCCAGTTTTCTTAATGGCATCAGGTGATACAACAAAAAAGTGGACCATCTGGAAAGTCCTGAGGACTTGTCTGAGAACCTCTGCTCTAAATGTATTCATTCCACTAATTTGTCAGCAGTAACTGACCCGACAGTCTCGCTGCAGCGTCTTCATCAGGGCGTGGCATGTGTCTGCGTCCAAGTGCAGGCCCTCAAAGTGCATCTCCTGGAAGTCTAAGTCTTTAAAGGTGGGAGAGGATTTGGCTCTTTCTTTGCGTGAAGCTCGCCGCTTGTACGTCGAGCCTTTTAGGTCGTATTTGTAGTGCATTGTCAGAGAACGAGGCAAGACGTTGTTCATCACCACCAGTCGGATATTGACTCCTCCGCACTGGACGCAGTAGAGGCCATAAAACTTAGGCAGGAGGGTCCTTGGGTTCTGGTTAAGATTCTGCAACAGGGGGAAACTCATGGAGTTAATATGTAATTCAAGCAGAGCACAGAGTTTAATCCATCCTTGCTGAAAAAAATGGAAACCAAAGCAGTATGTCATTCCACTTAAAGAGTCATTTAAACAGTCGTGGAAAAAATGTTCCCAAGAGCTATTTTTTATAGAGATATTAAATAAACAGTTAGGTATGAAATTTTACAGGATTTTCCCCTTATTCCAAATGTAGTAGTTTTACCAAGACAAGCCTGGTGTCCAAAGTGTGCTCCTTTAGTACTTAATATGATGCTTGTCATGTTATGTAATGTTTTGTAGTGCAGCATTACATCCCTCAGCCTCATCGGTTTGACAACAGTCATGTTTTCAAATAAATCAAAAATTCTCTCATGACAATAACCAGCACGCATTAAGAAAATAATCACATGACAACTGGAAATCCTTACAGTGTTTAACAAATCCTTAGTGCTGGCCACTAGAGCCACACATCTGTGATGCTAGCTTGCATTGGTGATGCAGCACTAACCTCAATCAGTTGTCAAACTTTTTTCCTTGTTATCGGAACAATGGCATTAAAGACTTAGGCCTTATTCACACATAGTGCTTCTGCGTGGTGTGAGCGGCGTAGCAGCATGAGCGCAACAGCTTGAACACGCTGGCCTTTCATACATACAGCATTCGTGCTGCAGAGCGGAGCACCGAGAAAGTTATACAGACATTCTTTTTTCCAGGCAGAGAGATGGTCCCAATAGTCACTCTGCTCAACAAAAATCTAATTTATGAAAGTACATAATATATTTATTTATCCTCAACAGCATACAGACTTGTGATTAGTCAAAAGTTTCAAGCCTGGTGGACCAGCTAGGAAATCTGTTTGCAGCACGGAATGTTTAACTAGTATTTCATCGTGAATCAAATTTTTTAACTGTGGTTTTAAGTGTTTATACGGTTTTCTACTTTTTTTTTTTTTTAACTGATTTTCGTGGCTTATTTTAGTGAATTTTGCTGCGCAACTTGCAGAAAAATATTGGCACTGAGTCTATTCTCTAAATAACGTGGTGTTTCAGTGCGACATCTGGGACGCTCTGCCTGTGTGAAAGTGCTGACCAGTTAACATGGGCGCTGAAATGAAAAGCAAGACTTTCCGCGTCACTCACACCATGCAGTATGTGTGAATTGGGCCTTAGCCAGCTAGTCAAAAAAGTTTCAAAATTGACCCTCAAGATACATCATCAGAAGGGGGTTTACTAGTCTTTAAACCAGGAAATCCTCCTGTAGATACTACTGCAGTACTGCTGTGAAAGGTGACTAGGCATGTCTACAAAAGATGCAGCGATGGTTACATTTTTCATTTTCACTGGAGTGTCCAATCAGAGGATGTATTAATTTTTTTTGAACAAAATATGTCATGTAACCAAACTTTTTGCATAAGACTATATGTGCTTATGCAAACAAATACCTCACTGCATAATCCAGACATCAGATGCCAAACATGTCTTGGCTGACTTACTACATTTGGAGTAAAATTGGAAAACTGTAAATCTGATTTTTCACTTTAAACAGTATGCATTGCTCAGTGCTTACATCATGTCACAGTGTAGTCTATGTAACTGTGTGTACAGTCATACCTGGAAGAGCAAAGCCTGGAGACTTCTCCTTGTGGCTAAATCTGACACATTTACAGTCATTTCTATTAATGTGCATTATTCTTATATTATACTGTGTTTAAGTAACTGTGACAATGAAATGCTGGGTGTTGCATCATGGTGTGGTGGTCTGGTGTTAATGTGGCACACCATGTAATAGCCAGGAAGCAACTTCTGCAGAAACTCTGCCTCTTTGTGCTGCACTGTCTTGATGATAAACTCGTCGTCACTTGTTAAGTAGAACCAAGAGCTGCTTGCCCCGGGGTTAGACAGTTCAATTAGGGGTTCATTGCAGATGGAATACTGCAAAAAGAACAACAGGAAAATCATTAACCTGCAACAGTATGTTTATTAAATATTAACTTTAAAGACTGATAAGCACTAATTGTGTTGTAGTGCCCAACACCACATAGTCCAGGAAGTCCTTTCAACAACTCACTTGTGACACAGTTTACTCATCAGCGTCTCAGTTAACATTTAGAAGAGTTTTTGGATGCTCACCAGATAGTCATCAGGTTTTATCCCAAACAGTTCTCGGAAGTAGCGGAAGGCCACAGGGGCGTAGGTTTTGAAGCGGAAGTCAGGGTAGTGATGTGCTGGGGTCAAGTTACTACCTTCACTAAAAGTGAAAACAAAACATCATCATGGCTATTTTACCTACAGGGTCAGTTTTACAGAGCCACATACACAGTTTTTTGGTTTGTGCCCCTTTTTATCCATATTATATCCAAAAACAGTAACATAATATGTTGTAATACACTATTCATCCAAAAGTCAGCACACTTGCTCATCAACATTTCTTCTGAAATCAAGAGCATTAATAAAGAGTTTGTTCCTCCTTTGCTACAGTAACAGCCTCTACTCTTCTGGGAAGGCCTTTACACTAGATGTTGGAATATTGTTGTGAGGATTTGATTGCACTCAGCCACAAGAGCATTAGTGAGGTCAGGTACTGATGATGGATCACAAACCTATCCTAAAGGTACTGGATGGAGCTCCATCACTCCAGGGAACACAGTTCCACTGCTCCACGCCCCAATGCTGGGGGGCTTTATAACCCTCTAGCCAACACTTGGCACTGGACTAGGTGACTTTAGGCTCAGGTGTGGCTGCTCCAGAGCATCCCTTTCTATCTTTTCTATGGAGATTGTACAAGCTGTATGTGTGCATCTGCACACCTGTGTCAGAAATAGGTGCACCTTAATGTAGCTCTCATTCACTATTTAGAAGGGTGCCTACATGCTTTCAGACATATAGTATACATTTTCAATACATTACTTTTTCTAGGAATGAGTTTAATGGAACCGGGTGTGTTACAGCCACAACAGTACTATAAAATGTGCTGACTGATAAGACTGCTACTCCCCTGAACAAGGTACACACCCATTTAGGGCATGTTACATATATCTACAGTCATATACTGTGTTTGATAACATACAGTACCATGCAGAGGGCTTTCATTTCTTTAATATCCAGTTAAAACATCCAGTAAGTATGTTATGTTATTCGTTTTTCAGGAAAAAAAGCAGAAAACACATTTAAGCATAAAATTACACAGAACTAAATATAATATGATTTTAGTATTGTGTGTCCACCCTCTGTATTATTTACAGCTTCTATTCCTTTCTGGAGAACTGCTTTCAATTTTTCAAAGCACCTCCAAAGTTCAGTCTTAAGTTGGTTACTTTTCATGATCCAAGTAATCCAAATTTGAAATTTAGACTCATCAGTCCATAAAACCTGGCTCTACATCTCTATTTCCTTCTCTCACTAAAGGCTTCTTAACAGCTACACATCATTTCAGAAACACATCAGCTACACATCATTTCAGAAACACCTTTCTCCTCTCTCTCAGAGATGAACACTTTAAGTGCTGTTTATCTGATGGGGACAGCTTTGGTGGTCTACCAGATCCTGCAGGTGGTTGTTCGGAGTCCCATTTTCTCTGTATGTTTTAACAATTTTTTGAACTCCAGTTTTGGAAACTCCTGTTTTTCATGGATTTCCTTCGGCATTCTCCTTCTTTATACAAGTGGATTATCCAATATCTAATCTCCTGAGAAACACTTCCTGAAAAGCAAATAACTTGCACTTATTGTCCTTTTTAACTGGAAATTAAATAAATCAAAGGTGGTCTCTGACTTTTGCAGAATATTGTATAATACACATACACAGCTATTTAGAGTCTGTAGTTCTGTGTAATATGAAATACCTGGGGAGAAAGACGCTCTCCACCATGTAAAAATCTTGCATAAGCACATCTCTGTCTGGCTTAGAGGTCAGATTGCCCACCGTGTAGCCAATGCCAAGCTGAATGGCTCCCTTCACTGCCTCTGCTGTAGGCTGAAAGCAAACACAGATGAAATGAGAGCAACCACAAGCTGCTAAATGCTGGGTTTTGCAATGCAGGTCATATTCAGAGGCAGAAACAGGATATGCCAATGTGAAGCCATAAAGATAGGTGTTATCAACAACACAAACAATGAAAAGAGGAAGCACAAGGCTAATGTAGAGGCTTGGTCACGCATTTCCAAGAAGTTTTTTTTATGCTAGCATACTGCAATCATCTAGTGAAATGTATAATTACGAGTCACGTAAAATTCCCTTTTTACTTTTTGTGTAAATTCTTAATGTGCTTCAATAATATGCTACAAAAAACAAGACCATATAGTACACCCTGGTCTGACAAAGGTGTCACAGCAAAAAGATCACTGTAAAAAAAAATCTTTAAGATGATTTTTCATGATTTTAAGGTGACAGATTACGCAAAAATAGATTTAACAGAGTTTTTCCTTTACCTCAAATGTAGTCAGTCAGTTGAGACACATTTGGAGTCCAAAGTTTGTTTCTTTTGTTTTGCACTGGAGCTAATGATGCTAATGTCGTTAATAAGTAACGGAAGATATCACTTTCACTGCGCTGTGAAAACTGCATGACTAAATCACACTCGTGCCTCAAATAGTGTCAACTTGTGAAATAATCTGAAATAGATTGGTAACAATGTGGTTTCTGACACTGTATAACAGAGTTCATACTGTTAATCATGTTCTTTCAGAAAAGTAATACTTTCAGGAAAATCCAGGCTTCTAGATCACGACTACTATTTTCAGCTTGGCAACACATTTTTCTTCATTTTTTCAGATATTAGTATCTTATTGTTAGTCATTAGTTTCTACATTAGCCTCATAGCTGCAGTGCAAAACTAAAGAATTAAACTTCTGACAACAAACATGTCTTGGCTGATCAGCTACATTTGAGGTTAAAGCTGAGCCAACACAAACAATTTCTAGCACAATTTTAACACTGATTTGTCCCTTTTGACAAAATTTCAAAATCTGAAGTGATTTTTCAGGTCAGGAGTTTGATCAGACAGAGATAAAGGGGATGCTGGTTGAAAACACGCAAACTAGTGCCTTTATAATATATGCACTGTGATTTTAAGGCCATTTCTTTACAGTTTTAATTCAGCTGCTGTTTCAGGTCTGTATTAAAATATTTCTCCAGCTCTCACTGTGATATTTGCGTTTCTCAACTACGTATTCATCCCTAAGTTGTGGGTTTCTTGTGTGTGCACAAAAGCACAAAGAAGTTCAGCCGTGTTTAGCTTTATTTGTATCCTGTGACAGCGGAAGATTTGGGGTTTTAAGTGGTTTTTATAGCTGAAATGTGTGCACTATACCCTCATTTTGCCTTGTTGTCTAGTGTGCACACCCTTACAAACAAAAGGACATGAAACAGTGAGAGACTGACGTTAAATGTGCAGAGCTCTCTGTTTTCTATCTGTTAGGCTACTGCTTGTTGCAATGCTTTTGGTGAAGCGGCCTGTTGAATTAGATTTAGTGCTTAAAAAACACTGTGTATCACGATTATTTATAGCCATATGAAATAATTAAATGAAATGGAAATTGGATATTGTTAAAATGGGATGAAATGTACTTGGGCTGTCATCAATATACTTGGGTGGGTCGCCCAAGTATGTATGTGGGGAAACACTGAAATGACTTCATAATTTTTTATTTTTAGTAATTACTACAGAAATTATGTATTACTTGCAAAAAGCCAAGCTAATGAAGTATTTACATTGTTTTAAAAGAAAACCTAGCTTTTAGTGGGCTGTGGATCAAAGGCCTAAATCAACAAGATGCAACCAGAGAATATCACTAATACTATCATAACACCTGTACATAATGGATTTTTGGCTGTTTTGTTGCTACTGTCCTGGAAATCTGTCTAAACACCAGAGCACGTCTCTGCTGTGGGCAAACACACTCTGCGATCCACCTAATAATGTTAACGTCAGCCTCAGCTTTGTTACACATGCTGTACCACGCCAACAGTATGATGGCTGTTATGTAACAAGCAGCGCAAAACAGCATTCTAGGCTGTTAAAGAAAGTTGAGAAATCGGAGTGGGATAATGAAATCCCACTTAATCCGCAAAGAGCTTGGAGCACAAACGCCACATTGTCCCCTTGCGAGGAAAAACATGTCGGGGGGTTTGACCTGAAAGGGTCTGTCAGCTGGTCGAGGCGCATGAATGAGGTTAATACCAATAATGTGGTTGGACGAAGATGGGTGGACCCACAGTGGATGCACAATAGGGGATAAATTTGGACAAAAGTGCTATATAAACTATACACTAACTCTAGGACTAAATCAACTGAATGTAGCTTTTATAGGGCTGTGGGGAACTAAAGAGGAATTACACCAATTTTCAAAGTCTCTACATAATTCAATCATAAAGATGTAAACACAGTCATTCACAGTCTTTCATGTGAAATGCTCTGTTCTAGAGAAACTGACTTATTTCTTTACAGTGGTGGCGACAGGAACCAGGGGTCGCAATATATATACTGCAAATATAGCCACTTTACTACTGAAAACAACCAGTGCATGTACACATAAGTTTCTATATGTAATGTTGATAATGGTAAAACATAAAATTAAGAGGTAAATTTAAAAAAAAAAGTTTTTTTCCCGTACACCATTCTGCATGCACTTCTCCACCATGGCGGAGTTTATTAATATGTTTTAGGCCAAACTCTTCTCAAAACTACCGTAAAACAATGCTGCAGACATCAGGCAGCCCATTCTTAACCATTTCATGTAATAACTTTAAGTTAGGAAGCTTTTAGAGGCATTAAACTCTTCAGACGTCTGGTTCCTATCAACACCACTGTGAACAATACTGACATGGTAAGTTAGTCTTTAGACTGTAGCATCTCACATCCACTCTAAAGGACTGCTTACATCTTATACACTTGACACATTGGCGGAATTCTTTAAAGGCCTGAACTAACACCTGCAGTTACTAAGGTTTGTCTGTATGGTTGCTACTGATGAACGTGTCTTTCCTGTAAATTCACTGTATGTGGCACAGGCTAAAAGAAGGCATTATTGAATTCATACCTTTTTGTGATCTTTGCTTGCACTCTTCTGAGGTCCTCCACCCTCAGATTCATTTGTTGCTGACATCTATTGTTAAAAAAAACAAAGCAAACCAAACAAATAACGATTTGTTCAATATGAATTAAAATAAATTTTGTTTTAATAAACGATACTATACGTTCCATCGGCAAAGTATGTTTTTAGTAGTATACAATAGCATCCATGAGCTGAGTGCGCTTTGTGCTGATTTTACGAGAGAAGGAGGAAGTGGCCTGTTCCTGTTCTTGCTGAAGATAAAAGCTGAGCAGACTCCTGTGCACATCATACCATCGTTTGACACAGCATTACTCTTTGTGACTACCACATGCCTTCTGCCACCATATTTTCATGTTCATGTTAAAAGCAACAGATTTGCTTTATACCAAGAGATACTGGTGTTCTCCCTTACCTTGTAAACCGCTCTCCTCATGTGATCTCACGGCCACTGCATATCCAGGACTATAAATGAATGTAGGAGTCCTAAGAGAGAGCGAGAGAGGAAAGATAGAACATGAGTAAGTTGGCGGGATGTCTGTGCGTGACTGATATAGAAAGTGAAAGAAAAGATCAAGCACATATGTGTGGCTGTAGCACAGATGAAGAGAGTTGATGTGAACGTGTCACACAGGAAGCATGTGTGTGCGAGGGAAGGGGATGAGTGGGAGAAAAGCTTACAGATTACCACGGATTCCCTCATTCTCAGAATATCGGAACAAATTGCAGGAAAAAAACAACGTTTGCTGTTCAAAACACTGAGCTTATATCCACAGTGAGAAGATGTCAGCTACAAACTGGCACTCAGCCTGTTTAATAACTGTAAGATACAGAGTGTATTTGAGAAACTACAGAAGTGCCAACACAAAGTTTGCGAGCATAATGCGGCAGACATAGCAAAGATATTTTAAGCAAAGTCTCATATTTCATAGCAAGAGTCCAGAGGAGGAGAAGTCACAGCCCAATTACATAACTCTGCTGTCCTGAGAAAACTTCCATTTTGGACTGTTTTCCCCCCATAAATTAAAGCATTAGGCCTTTCCCAGGACTGAGAGTTACAAAATCAGTTTAAAACCTCTTCACATTTTGTCATAATCAGGTCTTTTTCTCCTCTCCCAAAAGCTAATGTTATTCATTTGCTGGTCTGTCTGCTCAAACATATGATGTCATAACAAAACCTTTTATTTACTACATGGATACTTTACAGGAGAAGGGAAAAAAAAAACATTCTAAACTATCACTTGTTACAATAATTTCCATTAATGTTGGATATTATTTATATTTGTTTATATGAGTATTTATTATTATTTTATTATTTTAATTACATTACTAATTCTTGTTATGTATTTATTTATTTATGTTGACATGTTCACAGATGGCCTCAACATCACTGAATGCCTAAAATCAAGTGTATTTAAAGGCTGTTTTGACTAAGTTAAACAAATCAAAGAGTGGCCTCTGACTTTTGCAGAGACGTTTTGCACTTTCAATGTAAGTTAATGTAACAAGGTTTTATTTTAAGTAATTCTGAACCATTTCTGCTGGTCTGTTCGTTGTGAATTTTTGACACGGTGTAAAGGGTAACCAATGTTTTTAAATTTGGTTTAAAAATAAAAAAAGAAATGGAGATTTAAAGTTTAGACAGTGACAATATACACACACACAGACAGTTCTGTGTAAAAGACTTAGGCTCCTAAGCACATTATTTATAATAATTTACCTTGGACAATAAGTAAGATTTGCTTGTAAAATTATAAATGTAGTAAAAAGTAACATGTAACATCTTTTTTCAAACAGTTAACATCTTGTGAGCAAGTCTGAAGAACACAGTTTGGCTCCAGATTTCTTCTGGAAGTCCCCAGCCACCACACACATTTATTAAATATCAACACCAGCACATTTGATTTAACACAATGAAGCACTGATTAGCTAAACCAGGTATTGGATGTTATCTACAAATAATATTAGGCTTCCTCTAGGAGAGGACAAGTACATTGACATACATAAAATCACGAATTACTGTTTTAATATTAAATGTGTTTACTGTAATATTAGTTTTTTGTTTGTAATATTGTTTTTTAGTTATTGAAATTGTAAACACTTCCTGCTCGGATAAACAGTAATTCTCAGGCGTTTAAAGCATTTGCATATTACTGTTTGTATACATTTCAAATGGCTATTGCTTTACAAATTACAATTGAGGCAAAATATACAATATGGAATAAATGTACACCACAAATTATGTCTGTCCTACATTACCATTATAAATTAGAAAAAAGGCTACGCTAGACCTCAGAAAGACTTAAAATCCTTTATATGGCTGCACACGACAGAGAAATAAGAGAGGTTTTCCACACATACCTCACAAGCCAAGCCTGTCCTGAACCTGTGAGCCGTCTGCTTATGAAAGTGTCCCAAAGTTCTCTTTACTCACTAGTTCCCTCACCGTAACCTCTGGTACTAATTAAGACAGATTACGAAATTATTCCTTTGCTAATCTTTTCAGGGACTGCCTATTTGCGCAAACTCACAACTTAAAACCCTACCCACTAAACAAACAAATAAACAATCACAACAAAGCACAGAAGACACAGAAAACACTTGTAAAAAGCAAAAAATCATGTTCGAGTCACAGAAAGTGTGGAATAAACTGAAAAGATGCAGAAGAAGATAAGTGAGTAATGAACCGTCAATATTTATACAAAAAGATGCTGGGACATGATTATGGTGTCAGAGCACTTCCTCAATTAAACAGAAAGAACAGTTTAAAGCTAAAATGACGGTGTACAATACGAATGAGTTACTGTAACTGTAGTTTATTATGTACATTTTATATATTAACATATAGGAGAAGTTTACTCAGCAGTTGAACTCAAATTAGTTTGAGTTACATAAAGGCTGGTGTACGGACAGTGTAACAGGCTTGTTGACGCAACTATATTCTACATGCGTTCAGCAATTAATTAGTAACATGCATGTGTGCATTTGCATTTGTGTGTACAGCATCAAATGCAGCGCAGGGGAAATGAAAGGTGATCAGTGCTCAGTTGTTTCACCAGGAGCTGAATGAAGTGAGTATTATGTATCATTTCTTCCTCATTGGACTGAGAGTGTCTTTGTTGTTGCATTAGAGGCACAGCAGTAGAGAGTTTACACCAGGGCTGGTTAATTCTTGTCCTTTACAGCCACAGCACTGCACATGTTAATATTTTCCCTTCTCCAGCGCACCTGACCACATAACAGCTGCTAAAACAGTCCATGCCAGATAAAGGCCCAGAAAATAGCACCATTGACATCAGCACATTCAGATAGTGGAAAAGGCTTAAACCAACCCACAGCATTTCATTCTTTTCCTCAATTTATCGAATACCACTTATTTTTCCAAATTTCTGCACAATTCCATCATCAAGATGTAAACAAAGTCATCCAGAGTGGTAAGATTTCTTTACATGGGAACCAGGGGTCTCAATGTCTAATGGGGAACCGGGGGTCTAAATATCTACATTGTAAATACAGCCACTTTATTTACTATCCCAAATGACCAGTGAATCTACATGGCCTTTAATTTTTATATGTGATGTTAAAAATAGTAAAATTGTAATTTAAAAAAATAACTTTCCTTAAGGACTTTTTGTTACCGTTCAATGTCCCGTATGAACCCATCTGCCATGAATGGCTTTTAAAAAATACATTTTAGGCCAAAACCTGGTCTCAAAACCATTTTAAAACAATGTCTCTGATATCCGGCAGCAAATTCATAATCATTTCACATAATAACGTTTAGTGATGTAGCTTTTAAAGTCATTAAACACTACGGTTGTCTGGTTACCATCACCACTGCTGTGAACACATCTAATGCTGTTGTCCCACCCCCCCGCACTGGGCTGTGTGCAGTGCAACTGTGTTCTCTGGAGTGTTGTAGCTCCATCCAATATCTTGGGTGGTATTGAATTGGAGAGATCCAGAACTGATCATTCAACATCAGTACCTTACCTCACTAACGCTCTTGTGGCTGAATGCAATCAGATCCTCATAGCAGCGTTCCAACATCTAGCATAAAGCCTTCCCAGAAGAGTAGATGTTCATTTAATTTCAGGAGAAATTGCTGGATAAACAGGTGTCTACCAATTTTTAGACATTTCTGTGCTCAATACAATGCCCCCCATCCCCCTCTAAAAAAAAATAAAAGCTTAAACAGCTTTGAAATAGCACACACATCACATGCATACACATGATACTTTTAGATTCTGTTTTGTAGTGCAATAAGAAGCTTTTTAAGAGCATGATTTACAAATGGTAAAAGTGTGAACTGGATTATCCACAGTCTTGCAAACAACTAGATTAGGTGACGTAAAGGGTCCAGAAATAGGCCCAAGCGGAACCCCTTTTGCTGAACTGATTCGTTATTGGTTATTAACTCCTTTCTCCCATAAAGCTTTTCTCACAAAGCAGGATTTCTTGCTTAGACAGCTAACTTTAAACTTAAGTTTAATCTAACCCTGGACTTACTGTCTCACAACAATTTATGCTGCACGTCCAACAAACCATGTTCTCACAAAGGACAGTGAGCTTCACAAAACCTAACAAATGCAACCTCGGTTAACTCATTTTACAACTGGGATTAACAACTTTCTCTGTTAACCCAAGTTTAGATAGTCAGGCTGTGATAAATCCTCGGGTGCATGTCAATAAAAGCGTGACGTTTATAACAAACAGTCAATCGTGTAAAACGTGAGGTGGAGTCAAGCAGCTTATTTTTCAAAGAAGGAAGAAATCGTACTACATCAGTATGTAGAAAGTAAAGCATCTTCGTGGCCTTTTTCAAAGAACGCACCAGCATGTAGCACCCCAAAAGTCCTTTAAAGCATGCACTCCTCGCATGTCCTCAATGCTCAATAGACTCCATTTCAGCTAACACAAAATTGTTTTCACTATAGTGACTTGAGTGCTGGTAGCTCCCCCTTGTGGACAATCTAGTTAAATGTGAATGAGTGAGTGAGTGAGTGAGTGAGTGAGAATGTGAGTGAGTGCGAGAGTTACAAGCCAGGTCTACGAGGTGCTTCGCATCTAAAAAATTTGCCTCCTCATGTTTCATGCAACTGGCTGTTTGTCACAATCATCACCCTTTCATCTGCATATGCATGAAAACTATTAACAACATGTGTATCTAAGCTTGGTCAGTTTGATTTTTTTTATTTAACCTTTAACTTAACCAGGCAAGTCATAAAGAACATATTCTTATATACAATGGTGACCTGGCAAGCAACAGAAGCTGTCTGGGTAAGAAGAAAAAAAATCATAGGGTAAAGGCAGCAAACACTTTCCGCTGTTAATCACAGTTATAAAACAAGGGAAAAAGGGGAATTCCATTAATTTCCAATCCAAATTTCTGCAAAATGAAGATAAATGATTAAGATAAAGTCATTTAGAGTGGTCTGATATGTAATGCTCCATTCTAGAGAAACGTACCTAGTCAGAATTGTTCACAGTGGTGGTGATAGGAACCAGATAAAGAGAGCTGGGAACAGAGGAGGAAACTCTGAGAAGCTTGGGCAGGAATTCTGAGGCAGCTTGCTGAAACTGAGGAAGCCAGACCCCCCTTGTTTCTCAGCAAGAGAGAGCAGTCATGGAAGAGTGGGAGGAGACTGGTGTTGGTAGGATGTGATGTTTTCGTCAGGGGAAACTGAAAGGAGAGGGGAGAATTTATAGGGCATAGAATGTAGAGGGGGATGAGTTTCGGGTGTGGTCCGTCTCCAAAACTTTAGTTTGGGAGAACTCCATAAATACTACTTCAAAGAAATGTGTGACATGAAATTGTTATGAACATGCTGCATGACACTGTTTATAATAGCTTTGAGAAGGTTCTGGCCTATAACATATTTTTAGTCCATTCATGGTGGAGAGATACATGCAGGACAAAATAGTCCCCAGAAAATGTATTTTTTCAGCTTTTCAGTATTTTACCATCACCGACATAATATATAAAAACTCAAGACATGTGTAGGTTCACTAGCTGTTTTGGATAGTACATTTGCTGGCTATTTTTGCATTGTAGACACGGCGACGCCTGATTCCTATCACCACCACTGTAAAGAAATCGGAGTCTGTAAGTTTCTCTATAATGCACATGATTTCACATCAAATCACTTTGAATAACACTGTTTACATGGCAAAGATTTAACTGCTCAAACCTTTTGAAAAATCAGTGGAATTATAAATATATAATTATTCTGCTGAATCTGGGTCAGGAACCCTGTTTATATTGAATGTGCATAAGACAGGGCTCAGGTCTACCAGATGTGGACTAATCCGGCACACCTGCTGGCAGACCAATGGGAAAGCAGCATGAGAAAAATTACACCTGGAGGGTAAAAACTGACTGCATCAAGTCACCAATTGACACAGCAGATTCGGAGGCCTTCTCTATAAGCATTAACACACCCTTACAAAAACCGTTACAGACTGAAAAGCTGTCGGAAAACATTAACAACATACTGCAATATGTTCCATTTGGGCGTATCCTAATTCGAAATGGAATCAGCATCCCTTGCTAATGATCCAAATGTCAGGCATACACTCCACATACATCACACACCCAGCCTGGAGACAGACAATAGCCCTTTATCATTAAAAAACTAGACTCAGGGATATGGGTCGAGCAGCGCGAGTACTTGTTGTTTACATTTGGTGGAGATGGAGGAGAACACAAATGCTAGCTGACGTAAAAAGGCAACCACGTGACGCATTCAGAGCAAGTCAGCAAACAGGGACATCCATCACCGCAATGAAGTTTAAATGGCAGGTGGGAATTAATGTAAGCAGTCTAAAACACCCTGAGGCAGCTTCAGACATAAAGACTTTCCATTGTAACTCTACTAGGACAGAATGACACATTCATACTTCATTAAAATACACTGAGACGTCAATATGAGTCAAACCTAATGCTGCTCTGAGTTTGTCTGCTTACTGTTCTGCTCTGCTTCAGTGCCTAAGGAAAGTGCAGCATCTGAAGGAATATCTGTGTTGAGTTTTTGCATATGGAAATGACCACGGTCCACAGTGCCAGTGGGTTTTAGTCTAGTTCCACCTATATGGTCATGAGGAAGTCAATTCTTCAGTATTTGTTCAGTTTATTTCCCTCTTGACAAAACCAAGTCTTCCCTGCATTCTCTAAAAGCAAAGTGAGCAGGCTGTATAACAGAGCTTGGCCATATGACTATATTTATCCTTATCATGATAAATTACATCACAAAATGACAAAATATGCTTATGGTTATCACCAGTACTTAAAAAACACTTAGCAATTGCATGTTTGACTAAAGAGAGTCTTGTTTAATTGGGTTTAGTGCAGCACAGTATGTAAAATGCTGAAAACAAATAACTGAATTCATAGTTTTTGACTGTATTTTTAAAATGTGACACTATTTTGTCTCTTCTAACTTAAAACGTCAGAAAAAAATACTAACATATCGTGTATCGTGAAATACTTCCTGAAGTATCGTGATATGACATTTTACGATATCGCCCACCTTTGCTGTATAACCTCATTAAACCTAAAAACTCACTTCACTACCTTCTAAAGGCACAAGAAAAAGCATTTTTGTAAAGTACTGAACAGACTATAGTTTATCATATGCTAATATGATACAAATACATAACACTGAATTTAAACACGTGGCTAATTCGCACCACAGTATTCAAGCCAAACTTCTTCACGTTAGCCTGTTTGTGTTTTGTGCTCAAGCTCCGCGCTTCTCGGTAACAGCTCGGACACGCTCTCGGAAAAAGAAACTTAAAAAAGGTTCAAACTTACCCACGAAGTTACTGTAGAGAGGCTGTGTTTTAAAAACCGGTTTTCTTCAGCCGTGTGCTCTTTTTGTCAGAGCAGCTTCTCGTTCACAGCTGACGTACAGCCGACTTGCTCGTGTAGAGTACGCGCTTAATGATTCAGCGGTGTCTGATTCATAGACGAATCGGTTCCTCGGAACAGGTTCTTTTTCAATAAACTGGTCGAACCGACTCACAAGTCAAACTGAATCGACCTTTTGCAACATCTACACAATGCTGAAGACTTGTAATAAAATTCAGATGATATGCTTTTCAAATTGAATCATAACATGAAATGCAATGTTATAACATGTTTCATATTAAAAGGCTTATATTTTGGAAAAAAAATGTCTCAATATTTTTAAAATAAAAGCGTTTGATGTAGTATGCACACACTGTTAAAATTTAAAAATGTACTGATCACTCCCCACACTTATGTCATATGTGTAAACTAAACTCAAACGTACATATTTCACCCTATTAAACTACAGCAGTTTAGCCCCGCCCGTTCACAATGAAGTTATAAAAAGTGTTTCATCCCTGGTTGCTTTTTGAATGAAGTACATGAGGGAGATTTTTTTTATAATATAAAATATTTTTTCAAACATTAGATGATTTTAATCATAACTACTCATATAGTGCTGTGTGGCTCCAGCTGTGTATGTGCAATTCTCATTGTGTGTGTGTGTGTGTGTCTGTGAGTGATCTTGAGTTTGGGGCAGGGAGGTGTAGTAGTGTGTGCCAAGAAGGCCTCATCAAAAGCTGTGACCTGGAGCGGCACACTCACAGTGAGACTCTGTTTGTGCTATAAAAGTATTAAAAATGTCTTTAAAAAAAGAAAAGCATATATGTAGCAGATATTTAATTGAAAACACATACATTTAAAATAATAGATAAAGTAGATAAAGCTTAAAGGCCTTGGCCTGAGTATTTGGCCTGTAATTATTTTTAAAAAGTACATTACTTCTTAGATTGGAAATAAGAGAAAAAATGTAAAAAAAATAAAATAAAATAATAATGACATCAATAATTACGTGAATAATGGGGTGAAAAACGAATTAGAGAAATTATCTAAGGTTTGGTAATAAGGGTGTTCAAAGTGACCATGACATTTGGAGATACTGGTGTGCAAATCAAAAGGTTTGAAACATTTGGGCAGGGCAAGGAGAGGCAAGGTGATGACCCCTCTTTGACCAGAGAAGAGTATAAAACTGTGGGTTTTTGTGCGTTGTTGCCTGGGCCAACTTCAGATTAACACTTGTTTGCTGGAGTGCATTAACTTTCAGTATGTGTCTTTTCCTGCCAATCCTGAGTTTTATTTTAATTTTGAGTCTGGAGCAAAACTGCATAGACTGTATGGACAAAAGTATTGGGACACCTACACATTACACCTACAGGAGCTTTTATGACATCCCATTCTAAATCTATAGGCATTCATATGGAGTTGCTCCCTCCTTTGCAGCTACAACAGCTTCCACTCTTCTGGGAAAGCTTTCTACAAGATTTTGGAGTTTGTCTGTGGGAATTTTTGCCCATTCATCCAGAAGAGCATTTGTGAGGTCAGACACTGATGTTGGATGAGAGGGCCTGGCTCACAATCTCCGTTCTCATTCATTCCAAAGGTATTCAGTGGGGTAGAGGTCAGGGCTCTGTGTGGGCCAGTTAAGTTCTTCCACACCAAACTCACCCAGTCATGTCTTTATGGCTGGAAAATGTTCTTGGAAAAACAAACTATTACTGTTTTACTAAGTAAAACCACAGAAGTGTCGCATGTGGACCTGAGGGAAAAAAATAATAGTAAAAACAATATTCAGGATATGTAGCATATGGGCTCTTTAAGAACAACTTCTTTAGACTTTCTTACATTTTCTTTGTCAATAGCCAACTCCTTTTGTGTGCTGTGTGTGCCCAGTCCTGTTCTTAGTATGAGTATGATTTCACTAGTGAATGGATCGAATGTCATTAAATAATTTTTTTCATGAGCAAACTTTACTGCCTATACAAATGGTTTTACAAACAGTGAATGAAGGCAGAAGTGTGCCAAAGAGTACTACACCAACATATAGGCAACACAACATAAAACAGTATTGGGTACGAGAGGATTCAAGGTACATAAATACATTTCAAGATCTGTTACAAGACATAAAATACAGGATCTTTTGGTAAATGTACATTTAAGTACATTTTGTAAAGTATTGACCAGACTGTAGATTATCATATGCTAATATGACCCAAATATGTAATACTAAATTTAAACACGTGGGTTATAGAATTTTGCCAAAAATGTCAATAAATTCACGAACGTCATTGTATATGGAGGAGATGATAAAACAGTATCACTTATGAATCAATGAATTGTTGATTCACACTATTGATTCATTGAAGCTGACCGTTCAAAAGAATCGATTCGGTAAACTGAATCGAATTTACCTTAACAATTCTGGTGCCTTTTATGCAGGTTTACCTTGCTGAGTTTTCCATTTTATAGACACATTTATGACTATGAAGGTAAAACCCAGAGCTTGCTGTCCTCTACTGGCCACCAAAACGTCCACTGAAACTATAAAAACTAAAACAAAAAGGAGCATCCTAGCACATTAGCAGTGATGATGACAGCACTTGAATCTTTGGTATCAGTCAATGGAGTTCAACCAATAGAAGATGTTTTCCTTCCCCTATCCCCCCCAAAAATGTTATAATCTTGTTTGTAATTTTAGTTATGTCATTTTACAGTTTTGGGGTGATTCAGGGAGACTAGCGTGCTAGCTCTCTCAGTTCAGGCTGTTTAAAATGGGCAGCTTAACTTATGTATGGACTAGATCTAAATTGTTACAATAATGCTGTATTGAACATCTATAACAGGGTACTGGCCTAATCTATTGTCCATACTATACAGACTAGTTTCAAATAGGTAAAATTATGTGGATTCATTGGTGCATATCTGTAGCTGTATTTACCCTGTTGAAAAAACTGGACACACCAGCATAATTTCAAGGCTGGTCTATGGTGGGCAATGCTGGTTTGTACTGGTCATGCTAACTGACTAGCACACCAGCATCTGAAACACAACATGTGCTGGTTTTGCTGATGACCAACCATGCTGGTCTATGCTGGCTGTTCTAACAGGGTAGCCAACAGTCTTCATTAATATTTATGTTTAATGTGGTAGTGATGCTGAAGTGAGTTTAAAAGTCAAGGCGCCAATGATGCTAGACATTCGATTTTGGAGTACAGGAGCACCACCACCACACTGCCCCCACCACCCCGGCAGGGAAATAAATAGAAAATAGACTTCGCTCTTGCTCTCGCTCTTGCTCTCACTCTGTGTCTGAATGGTGAGTAAAAAGTGCAATATGGAGAACATGCTGTCTGACGGTCATTTTAGAGGTCTATTTATGTTTTGCAGCTGATGTAATGAGAACTCAGACTTTCATCTTATGATGAGTGGATCACGGACATATGGTGTCTGATATTTTAATGCGTTATATCCGTAACCTAGCTAGCTAGCTAACTGCTGGGCCATGCTTCTAAAACTGAGGTCACACATGCTCCTGTTATAAGTTGGCAAGGTCATATTGGCGGACGTGGTGGAGAAATTTCTCATGTGCCTTATTGTGTAAAGTACAATTGCTGGGAAACACTATGAGCATGGATTTTAGGGAGGAGGAAACATAATACTTAGCTTAGCCTACTTAACGTATCATACCACCAGCCACCACACTCTGCTAAATGAACCCTGCTGAAAAAAAAAAAAACAGCACAGACCAGCAAGCATTTCATGCTGGTTTATGTTGGCCTGGTGCTGTTTTAGTGTTGGTTCATACCAGCATCAGTACACAACATATGCTGGTTTTGCTGGTGACCAGCCATGTCCAGCTGTTTCCATTTTGGTTTAAATGCTACCCAAGTTCATAAAGTACAACAGCAAATATTTTTGTACTGTTTTCCATTTAATACAGATCAAATAGAATTTATTAATCACTGCTCTCTGTTTTTATGCTGTCCCAACTGGAATTGTAATACTATTATTACTATTTTTTTTTGTAAAATAATATGTCAGAGCGTCTATCAAATACATTAATGTAAATGTTTTAATCACAAATGCAAAAACTGGTTATGGTCACAGACTTGTTGCTGTGGTTTAGGACACAGTAAGACTTACTTTGAACTAAAAATTATAGGCAGTGATTTTAGACAATAGGTATTGTGCCAAAGTGGTTTTAAAAGCAGACATCAAGTAAGCCTAACAAGCATTTCCAAAAGTTATCCCTTTTGTCATGTTTTCAGCCCTGTGCTTAATCTGCATCTGCAAAACAGATCCTTAAAAAATAAACCCTTTATTTAATATCTCCGTAACCGCCCCCATTCTTTATGATTTCCCCCTTCCTGCTTCTCAGATTTAGGCTAAAGTTCATGTTTTTGTGCTCGTTTTGACAGAAATCACAAACTTAAAGCCATTTGTTATGACCTGTTAAGCACTGGTGGTCTGCGATCCACACTGGGGTAACCTTTGCCACAGTTGGCTTTCAGACGGCTGTGAGGATCAAGATCTCCCAAACATGGGATGCAGAACTTTAAGTGTTTTACTAAATCACCAGAGTGCAATTACAGTCTGGGTTTAAGCATACATGTACTTCCTCAGTCTCACACTGTTTGAAACACATCGTTTGATGGTGCCTCATTTGCTCCCAGCTGCAGAGGCAGACAGGTACAGACTGCAAAACTTTGGGCACCTTTGGTCAATATACATGTTTTGTTGATTTTCTAAGTGAAGGTAAGTTAACACATCCTCTACAGAGAACACTGTTCTGCACATTTTAATGTATAATCACAGTTTATTTGCTGAATTTAATGTATTGGCTAAAAAACCCCACAGTGGCACATTATATATATAAACAGCATTTATATGATCAACAGAATGCAGAATGAGTTTCAAGAGAGAACGGTGGCCTTGTGAGGAAGCATCAACCTCTGCTAGGCCTCTTGTTGCGTAGCCCCCTGGTGAGACACCTGTGGTAAACAGAAAATGACCTCAGCTCTATATCAGTTTCCTTGCACAAACACAGCTGACTCTGCTGGAAACTGCTGCACAGGAAAGAAACACTTCTATTCTTATACACTCATACTGCTTGTACAAGAAAGAACTTGCTATACATTATGACCATACTGATAAACATTTTGATGTTTAACTCCTTGTTGGCATTTTACATATCTCAGTTCCAAAGTTGTGACAGTATGTGAAATGCAAATAAAACAGAAAGTGATTTGTAAATACACTTTGATCTGTATTAAATGAAAACAGTACAAGGATAAGATATTTAATGTTTCTCCTGATCAACTTCCTTAGCAACTATCAACAAATTGTTTTTTTTTAATATACACTCATTCTAAAGGCCTGCAACACATTCCAAAAAACCAGAAACATTGTGAAAAAAATGTTTTAAAGAGGTGATGCAGTCATGTTCAGGTATAAGAGAAACATTCAGGAAAGGCCTAGTGGTTTAATCAAGGATTAGAGGGTCAAAGCTCACCATTTTGCCAAAATATGCTTCAGTGAATAATCAAACAATTTAAGAACAACATTCTCCAACAAGCAAGTGCAAAGTTTTAGGTATTTCACCCTTTACAGAGCATCATATCATCACAAGATTCACAAAATCAAGAGAAATCTCTGTGCATAAAAAGGGAAAGACTAAAAACCACAAATGAATACCCATGACCTTTGATCCCTTAGAAGGCACTGCATTAAAAACCAGCATGCTTCTGAGATGGGTCTCACCACAAGAACACTTTGACAAACCATTGTCAATAAACACTGTTCATCATTGCATCTACAAAGGCAAGTTAAGACTATACTATACACGGTGGAAGCCACATGTCAACAACATCCAAAGCCCCCATGGACTACTTTGGGCTCAAGCTCATCTGGAATGGACTGATTGTTGAATGACGTCTGACGAGCCAGCTTTTCAGATTATTTATGAAATTAATTGATATTGTGTTCCTGGAGCCAAAGAAGAAAAGGACCATCCAGACTGTTACCAGCAAGTTCAAAAGACAGGATAATGTGATGTTATGGGAGTGCATAACCTGCACAATGCAGTTAAGGCACCATTACACTGAAAAATACATACACATTTTGGAGAAATACATGCTGGCTTCTAGATGATGTCTTTTTCAGGGACGTCTATTTGTGTTAATAAACATGACAATGCCAAACCACATTCTGCAGAACTTCTGCAAGACTTGTGTAACTGAAGAAAGACAAAAAAAATCACTTGGAATGACATATATACAAAAATCTGTTCATGAAGTAAAGCATCAAATATTGTGTTTTTGTTTTTTCAATGTAATACAGATGAAACAGAAACAGCTACTATTCACTGCTTTCTTTTTTTAGCATTCCACAAACTGTCCCAACTTTTTAGGAGTTAAATTTTGTACAATAGATAATTTTTTTTGGCTATCATATCAAAACTTTTTCATATCAAAATTTTTATATGAAAAGCATACATTCCTTCTTCTTGTTTGTTTTGTGAAAATGCCAGTTGCTCTTTACATTCTGTGAACATTTCATGACCAATGGGAAAAACATGGTCTGTGTTTGAAACTTCAACATACACTGTATGGACAAAGTATTGGGACACACCTCTTAATCATTGTATTCATGTGTTTCACTCAGTCCCATTGCCACAGGTTTATAAAATCAAGCAGCTTTCCCTGCACTCTGCCTTTACAAACATTTATGAAAGAATGGGACATGCTAAAGAGCTCACTGAATCCAAGCGTGGTGCTATAATAGGATGCCACTGTTGCAAAAAGTCAGGTCACAAAACATCTTCCCTCCGAGTTGTGCCAGGCTCAACTGTGAGTGGTAATATTGAAAAGCAGAAGCGTTTAGGAACCACGGCAACTCAGCCACAAAGTGTCAGAGCATGTAAAGTTACAGAGCGAGTCGCTGACTATAAAGTTTGGTGGAGGAGAGATGCTATGGGGTTGGTTTTCAGGGGTTGGCGTCGACCCCTTAGTTCCAGTAAAGGGAAATCTTAATGCTTTAGTATAACAAGATGTTTTGAACAAGGCCTTTTTCTGTCCTAGCATGATTGAACCCCTGTGCACAAAGCAAGGTCCATAAAGGCAGGGCTGGGTGAGTTTTGTGTGGAAGAACTTGACTGGCCCACACAGAGCCCTGATCTCTACCCCATTGAACACCTTTGGGATGAACTAGAATGAAGACTGCGAGTCAGGCCCTCTCATCCAACATCAGTGTCTGACCTCACAATTGCTCCTCTGGATAAATGGGCAAAAATTCCCACAGACACACTCAAATTTTGTAGAAAGCTTCCCAGAATAGTAGAAGCTGTTATAGCTGGGGACCAACTCCATATGAATGCCTATGGATTTAGAATAGGATGTTATAAAAGCTCCTGTAGGTGTAATGTGTAGGTGTCCCAATACTTTTGTCCATATAGTTTGCATTAAAATATATATGATATGCCATTTTCCTTCTACCATTTCAGAGATGTTTCGTTACCATTTCAGATAAACAAGGCTTTGTTACAACAGTGTTTTAATGTGTTTATAATCACCTGCTGCTCAAGGTCAGTGATTTCCTTTTGACGTTTCACCATGAGCTCATCATGTGTTGTTAACTCCAGGGATAATTTGGAGAGCCTTCTGGACTGAGAGTCCATCATCTCCTATAAGGAGACAAACAAAAACAGCTCTGATAAACTTCAGTCAGAGACATTCTCAGCAGCTATAAAGGAATGCACGTCAACACAAGATAAGCCAAAGAATTAACCTTGAGCTGAGCGATGTTTACTGGAGAGTGCGCCTTTGCGGCTGAGCCACTTAACAGTAGAACTATAGCGAGCACTTTCTTTATCCGCTGAACTGCTCCATTCTGGCTAGTCTTTAGGGCACCCAGCTCATCTCTCAGCCTCCAGGCGGCAGTCTGCAGCCTCTCCCCTCTGGCAGTGAGCAACTGGAGGTCAGCCTTTACCTGAGATAAATGATAACATGAAGGTATTTGAAGACATTTCATGGTGTACGATTCATATCACTGGGGTTTATTAAAGTGAAATGGAGACAATGCACTAGCAAATGGGCAGAGCCTGCCACATTCAAGTAATGCTATTAAAAACTACAATTAACTATAAGACCATTTTTTATTCTTTACTTTCTTTAAAAACTTTTAACCAAAATTTTATTTTGCATCATTACATCCACTTTGTGCATACTCTAGCTTCCAAATGCTTGCCTGACTTACATGTATGTGAAGTCAGATTCAACAATTAACAAATGGCTGTCCAGCTACACTGTGAAGTTTTGTTCATTTGTATAGCTCACAGTAAGTCATGCTATGTCCTAAACCACATCAACAAGCAACTTTAATGAAGAGCTGGATGTGGTTTGACCAGGTTGAGAGAAGTTTTACGGCATATTTACAGAAAAAATTTAGCTAACTATTAACAATGTTAGCTTTTTAGGTCAAGCACTAAACTAAAGAAGCAAAATTTGTGCCCATATCTTGGATGGTCAAACACATCTGAGGTTTCATTTTTTTCCATTTTTTCCCCATTCCTTTACTAACACACTCTAAATGTGGCTACTTTGACAAACTCTGTGCTACAGTTTTTCATTAGGTTAAATGGAATTTTTGTCAATGACCTCAAGCTCACAACTGTTGCTATGAAAGAACACATTTGTGGGTGGAGCATAGACATTTCAATTAGCATTATGCAAATTACACCATGGCAATAGGTGCCTAGATGTTTCCATTCACTGATAGCTGCATTAGCATATTCAGTCAGCATTATATTGGTATCATAAATGGTATCATATCACCCACCCTTACCTGAGCCTTCATTCTTCCAACCTTCTTCCCTCGTCTTCTGACCTCCTCCAAAGCTTGCATCTGTCTGTCCAGTTCCACAGACACCACACTGTCCTGCCTGACCAAGCGCCCAGTGCTCTCATCCAGGTCAGACAGCAGCTGTTTCTGGCCCAAGGAGAGAAGCTCCAGCTGGGATGGCTCCAGGTGCCGGTGGCCCTCTGAGGTAGTTGCATTGGTTCTGTGGAAATGTCCTGCCATGCAAGGGCCAAACAAAAAGATGAGCCAGAGAAGATACTGGAGCTTCATGGCTGTTTGATGCTGCTGATGCTCCCTGTATTCTCCACACGTTGCGTTCTGCACTGCTGCTTTTGGCCTTGTGGGGAGGGTTTACAGAGAGAAGTAAACAGTTAAGGCAGTTGCTCACGTTGGAAGCTGCCTGCCCCTCAAGCCCTGCCTGTAGCTCACAGCTCAAAACCGGCTGAGTCTAAAGAGCCTCAGAACAATCCGCTAGCGGCTAAACCTTCAGCTGCTCAAGCAGAAGCCAAACATCACTCCCAGACTCAAGTGCTGCACTGTAAAGCCAAATGTTTAGATTCTAAACACTTTCCTGTAATACCTTGCAGTGTTTTGTTAAGCTGTTTGCCTTTAGCATCAAGTAAACATGAGTGTTAAAGCAAAAAAACTCTTATTTTCAAATAATATTCATGATTCATTTGAGATTTTAAACACAGTAAAGCTTACCACAGTTTGTTCTCTAAAAGAAAAAGAGCTCAAGTAAGCATTCTTTTATAAACGATTTCAGAAAACTGTTTAAAGCCTAAATAGTTACAATATGGAGGGAACTTAAATGCCCATAAACTGTTCAAATGTGTCAAACACATACTGTTATCTTATTTAGAGTGTAGAGTGTTCAAAATTTCTCCATAATTAAACAGTTCAGATGCAAGCAAAGTCATTTAGAGTGGTTTGATGTAAAGTACACTTTGCTGGAAAAACTTACAAAGTCTGAATTGTTCACAGTGGTGGTGAAAGGAACCAGACGTCTGAAGTGTTTATTGCCTCCAAAAGCTAGCCCACAGAAAGCAATTACATAGAATGGTCACAAAAATACTATCCCATGTCTGAAACATTGTTTTACAATAGTTTTGAGATAAAGTTTTCACCTAAAGCATATTAATAAAAATACATCAAATGGTGGAGAGATACATGCAGAGTAAATGTCCCCAAAGAAAATGTATTTTTTCAGATTTACCACTATTTTACCATCGTCAACATTGTGTTCTATGTTACAGTTTCTCCGAGAAATGCTGTGTTCTGTGGCCTACCACAAAATGTGGTAAAGTGTGATAATGCGTGCAATAAGCTTATGATCAAAAATTACATCATTTTTGAAAGCGAGAAGGGTCCATGCAATCTCACCTTTAGGTATAGAGTCTTAAAATAGCCTAAGTTGGGCTCCTGAGCCGTGCAGCTGTCAGGGGCGTCAAGCTGAGTTTCTTCTGGGCCGCAGCTCTGCAGAGTTCAGCGTTAGTCCCCACTAAACAGACCTCATTCGACTCATCAGCTAATTAACAAGGCCTTTATGAGTTCACCTGGGTAGCTGGTGATGAAAATCAGACATCTGAAGAGTTACATTGGATTTTTAAAACACATGGAGGGCAGAGAGATATTGTGAGACAGAATCACCCATTTTGATTTACCACTATTTTACCATCATTATCACATACAAAACCTCAGAAGACACGTGGGTTCACTGGTGGCTTTGGATAGTAAGGAAAATGGCTGTGTTTGTGTTGTAGACATTCCAGGTTCCTATCACCACCACTGTAGAGAAATTGGAAGCGGTAAATCTCTCTACTATGAGCCATTTCACATCAAACCATTCTGAAATACTTTATACTAATACTTTACATCTCAGCCACTGAATTATGCAGATATTTTGAAAAAATCGGTGGGAAAAAAGAGTGAAATTCCTCTTTAATACTTTGCACCTGCATCTGACCTGAAGGAAGTTCTGCCAGACTAAATCATCATATCTCCAACCTAGGCTAGCTTTACTTAGCCCACTGGACAGCCAATAAAAGTGCTGTGTAAACTGTACAACACAACGTTCAAGCAGGCTAGTCAAATGTAGAAGATACAGCATGTTATTTCTTTAGTATGTCTGTTTAAGGGGGTGTACATTGAATGTAAGACGAGTTCAACAGCTTTTAGCTCGTAAGATATCATTTAGCTGCAGACACGTTAATATTTTGCTTGCCAGCTTACTATTATTCACATCAACATTTTAAGCGCTGATTCCTTTTCGATAACACGACAAAGCAGCCTTTGTAGGCCTGTGTAATACAAATGAGGAGCTGGAGTGTTAGAAGAGGGAAAATGCTGTGTGTGTCTGCAGAGCTGTAGACTGAAAGGACCCGGTTTAACACCCGTGGTCTGAACATTCGCTCAACTGTCTAGAGATCATAGGTTCGATTACTTGTGATGCCACAGCCATCCGGGAGAGCATAACTGGCCTCGCTCTCTCTGGGTGCATAGGGTGGTCCTCCCTCTCCAACATTCATGTGATGCTAGCAGCATGGGTGTCAGCTGACACAGCAGAATTGGCAGCTAGTGTTTTCCTTCCAGAATTTTGAGCTGTCTAATATAATGCTAATGACAATTTGAAAAGATGCAGTGGTACTTCATGCGTCTTGGAGGAAGCATGTGCTTGCATTCTCCCTCCCAGATTAGTAGCATCATGTAAAGGGGGGAGACTTAGCTAGAAGGTGAGAACTGGCCATAATTAAATTGAGTGAAACAAGAGCCTTTAGACTGCAAGAGCCCATATTTAGGACTCTCAGAAAAACTTCTCACTTTTATAACTACACAAGTTAAATATTAGTTTTGTAGTAGTTGCTGAATAATTTGTAGTAGCTACTAAAAATCATTCCTGAGATTCATAACTGAATAATATGCCTGCAGTTTAGAGATTTGAATCGGGATACCACTGAGTTTTAAGTATGATATTGCCATATTTCTGAAAATTCAGAAGGAATAGAATCAGCAGTCTTGCCTGTATCTTGTAAGGTAATATATCATCACTGTCCAAGAAAAACAAGTATCTCAGTTTTTGTGATTTTTAGTTTTCCACATTATTTGAGCTCAACGGCTGCACTTTACATTCTGTGAAAGTTTCGTCATGAATCGACCACAAGAAATATTTCAAAATCGCTTGGAATAAATTAATGTTAGATTAACTGATATTAAAAGGTTAGTAGGTTTTTGCCCTCTCCTGTAAAGTTACCATTTTGGAGATACTTGTTTGTCTTTGGACAGCGATAATGTGTGTTTGTGACACTGATGATATTACAGTTGGCAAGTAACCTGAACAGTTCCACAGCGGGACAATGGGGAAACTCAGAACAGTGCGATCTGAAGAGGAAATACATGCTTATGTGAATGCTTTCATGTAAATGAACTTTGGCTGTCAGGCAAAACTACAGCAGGTTCTGAAACACCGGCACACCTGAGACTTTTAGACCAGTGAACATATTTTTGGCTCCACCATCATGTGCTCTTAGATGATATTGTTATTGTCTGAAATCCTTCATGTTCCCACCAAGTCATTCAGTTTTGTGCTCTGCAGTAACTATATGGGCACTTTAATTTCTTCCTTGCGCCAATACCAAAAGACCTCCTTATGGAAACCTATTGTAGCCAAATAGAGAAGAAAATGTTTTTTTTCCTCTCATCTGTTTCTGGTAGTGGGGCAGCACGGTGGCACAGTAGATAGTCAGGCTGATTGGACACGCTACATTGCCCCTAGGTGTGAGTGTGCGTGTGATTGTGAGCGTGAATGTATATGTCTGTCTGTCTGTCTGCCTTGCAATGGACTGGCGACCTGTCCAAGGTGTTTCCTGCCTTTCGCCCAATGACAGGCTCTAGAACCTCCCCTGTGACCCAGAACGATAAGAAAATGTGTGTTTCTGGTGGCAGAATGTCAAAATATTGATGTAGTATCTCAAAATAATGACTTATTTTACTAAAATACTGACTTAGAATGTCAAAATTATTAGCTACTTTTTCAGAGTATTGACTTAGAATATCAAAAATGATGAGTTATTTTCTTGCTGAATTAATTTAGTATCTCAGAATAGTGACTTATGTTCTCAAAAAACTGATTAATTCAAAATATGATTTATTTTGCAATGCCAGAATATATTACGCTATGACAGCCTAATGAGTAAATTTTAAAAAAGTAAGATAATACAGGTCTGAGACACTAAGTCATTATTTTGACATTGTAAGTCTACTTTTAAAACATGTCATTATTTTGACCTAGTAAGTCATAATTAGGAGATAGTAAGTCATCATTTCGAGATACTAAGTCATAATTAGGAGATACTAAGTCATCATTTTGACCTAGTAAGTCATAATTAGGAGATGCTAAGTCATCATTTCAAGATACTAAGTCATAATTAAGAGATACTAAGTCATTATTTCGAGTTACTAAGTCAATAATTTGAGAAAATAAATCACTGTTTAGTAATTTTACCATTGTTAAAACATGTCTATTCTTACAGTGATTCTCTAAAGTGATCTCTAAAGTGAGATTTTCTGGTTTTAAAACTAGGAAAACCCCCTTTTTGATGATGTATCTTGAGTGTAGGGGGAACTTTAAAAAACAAAACCTAACCACAAGGGCTTTGTGGTGGATAACTGAAGGTCTGAGATATTTCGGCTATCTGACACATGGAGGAAGCTAGATAGGTAATGGAATATCACTTTTGTATTCATTAGCCTCTAGTGGCTATGCTAGCAATCAGGATTTCTTTATTGCTATGGTGGGATTTCCAATGTTTGTATGATGTATATGTGCTGGGTATTGAGAGAACACTGATAGACAAAACCACAAAAAGGTTACAAAATCATGAATTCTATTAAAGCAATGAAGCTGAGGGTTACATGTACACTTACTTAACTGGCCACAACAACTTCAACAACAATAAATGTCCGGTTCTTACCGGGACCGTGGCACCTCCCGAGTACCTCCCGCATGGCCACTTTGCATGGCCATACCTTCCCACACTCCCACGGCAGTGCAGCCAGTGAATGATGAATTTGAGGCTGCAATGCCTTTTAACTGTGTAATTTATGGGCCTGTGTTTATGTGAGCGCAGTGTAAGCGACAGATAAACCAATACAAATAGCAACATAATAATATAATAAGCCTGGATAATCCTGTGCAGCAAAGGGGAAGTGAAGGAGGGCTTGTTTTTTCCTGAATTGGAATAGGCTCCTATTTGTTCCCCCAAACATTTTCAGTGTTTTACCTATAATGACCACAAGATGGAGATAAGATACATTCATCCTTACAGT